CCTGACTTGCATGGGTTGAAATCAGTTTGCTTGGGGACGTTGTAGATTCCTGAGTGAACACTGTTGTCTGAGAGGTCTCAAAAGCTTCAGTTGACTGTGTCAATGTTGGACTTCCTAGGGATGTTGTAGATGCCTCAGCCAGGGCTGAGGTGTGGGTGACATCAGGAGGTACAGTGGTTTCTGTGGAAATTGAACTGCTTGGCAAGTGTGTCGAATCCTGAGTGAAGGTTGTTGTTTGAGATGGCTCAGTTGTTTGAGTTGCTGTTGTTGAAATCATGCTGCTCTGGGAGGTTGTGTATGGCTCGGTCTGTGCTGTCGTGAGTGAGGTGTCAGGAGGAATAGCTGTATCTGTGAACATTGAGCTCCCTGAGAAGGTTGTAGACTTGTGAGTAAATATTGTGTTGGTGGGCTCTGTTGCTGGAGTTGAATGTGTTGAAATTGGGCTCCTTTGGGAAGTTGTAGATTCCAGAGTGGACACGGTTTTCCATGATTCAGATGGTTGAGTTTCATGTGTTGACAATGGGGTCCTGGAGTATGCTGTCGATGCCTCATTTACAACTGAGGTGTAGAAGGTCTCAGGAGGTACAGTTGTCTCTGTTGAAATGGAGGGGGATGTGAGGATAGTGGATTCCTGAGTGAAGACTCTTGGGGATGTCTCAGTTGCTTGAGATGTTTGGGTAGAAATTGGGATGGATGGGGAGGTTATAGACTCCTGAGTAAGAGCTGAGGTGTAGGGGGTTTCAGGAGTTACAGCCGTTTCTGTGGAAATTGTGCTGGTTGTGGAGGTTGTAGATTCCTGAGTGAAGACTGTTGTTTGAGGGGTTGGAGTAGTGTGAGTTGCTTGTGACAGACTTGGGCTGCTCTGGGAGGCTGTAGATGACTCAGTGTGGACTGTGGTGTGAGTGATCTGAGGAGGTCCAGTGGTTTCTGTCAACGTTGGGCTGCTAGAGAAGGTTGTGGGTTCCAGAGTCAAGACAGTTGTTGGGAATGACTCTGTGGGTTGAGATCCAGGTGTTGAAATTGAGCTGCTCAGGGAGGTTGTAGAGGCCTCAGTATGGACTGTGGTGGGGGAGCTCTCAGGAGGTACCACTGTTTCTGAAGAAACTGAGTTGGTTGCGAAGGTCGTAGACTCAAGAGTGAATACTACTGGGGATGTCTCAGTACCTTGAGTATCTTGTGTGGAAATCCGGCTGCCTGGGGTAGTTGTAGAGGCCTCAGATTGGGGTGTGATGTGGGTGACCACAGGAGAGACAGCAGTTTCTGGGGAAATAGAGCTGCTTGGAAAGGTTGTGGACTCCAGAGTGAAGACTGTTGCTTGAGAGGTGTCAGGGGCCTGAGTTGCTTGGGATATTGTAGATGCCTCAGTCAGGGATGAAGTGTGGGTGACATCAGGAGGTACAGAGGTTTCTGAGGAAATTGAGCTCCTTGGCGAGGTTGTAGATTCCTGCGTGAACTCTGTTTTGGAGGTTTCCGTTGGTTGAGATCCATGTGTTGCAATTGAGCTGCTTGGGGAGGTTGTAGAGGCCTCAGTTTGGACTGTGCTCGAGCTCTCAGGAGGTGCAGCACTCTCTGTTGACATTGAGGTGCTTAGTAAAGTTGAAGATTCCTGAGTGAAAGCTGTCTTTTGGGAAGTCTCAGTTGCTTGTGTAGAAATCAAGCTGTTCAAGGTGGTTGTGTAGGCCTCAGTCTGTCCTGTAGTGGGTAAGGTGACAGGAGGCACAGCTGTTTCTTTAGAATCTGAGCTGCTTTGAAAGGTTGTAGATTCCTGAGTGAAGGCTGTTCTTTCAGAGTTCTGAGGGCCTTGAGTTGCTTGTGTCGATGTTGGGATGCTTAGGGATGTGGTAGATGCCTCAGTCAGGGCTGACGTGTGGGTGACATCAGGAGGTACAGAAGTTCCTGATGAAATTAAGCTGCTTGGAGAGGTTGTAGATTCCTGAGTGAACTCTGTTTTGGAGGTTTCAGTGGGTTGAGTTGCATGTGATGAAATTGAACTGCTCAGGGAGGTTGTAGATGCCTCAGGGTGGACAGTACTGGGGGAACTCTCAACAGGCACAGCTGTTTCTATGGAAACTGAGCTGCTGGGGAAGGTTGTAGACCTCTGAGTAGATACAGTTTCCATAGAGCCTGTTGCCTGACTTGCATGGGTTGAAATCAGTTTGCTTGGGGATGTTGTAGATTCCTGAGTGAACACTGTTGTCTGAGAGGTCTCAAAAGCTTCAGTTGACTGTGTCAATGTTGGACTTCTTAGGGATGTTGTAGATGCCTCAGTCAGGGCTGAGGTGTGGGTGACATCAGGAGGTACAGTGGTTTCTGTGGAAACTGAACTGCTTGGCAAGTTTGTCGAATCCTGAGTGAAGGTTGTTGTTTGAGATGGCTCAGTTGTTTGAGTTGCTGTTGTTGAAATCATGCTGCTCTGGGAGGTTGTGTGTGTCCCAGTCTGGGCTGTAGTGAGTGAGGTGTCAGGAGGAATAGCTGTATCTGTGAACACTGAGCTCCCTGAGAAGGTTGTAGACTTGTGAGTAAATATTGTGTTGGTGGGCTCTGTTGCTGGAGTTGAATGTGTTGAAATTGGGCTCCTTTGGGAAGTTGTAGATTCCAGAGTGGACACGGTTTTCCATGATTCAGACGGTTGAGTTTCATGTGTTGATGCTGGGGTCCTGGAGTATGCTGTCGATGCCTCATTTACAGCTGAGGTGTAGAAGGTCTCAGGAGGTACAGTTGTCTCTGTTGAAATGGAGGGGGATGTGAGGATAGTGGATTCCTGAGTGAAGACTCTTGGGGGTGTCTCAGTTGCTTGAGATGTTTGGGTAGAAATTGGGATGGATGGGGAGGTTGTAGAGTCCTGAGTAAGAGCTGAGGTGTAGGGGGTTTCAGGAGTTACAGCCGTTTCTGTGGAAATTGTGCTGGTTGTGGAGGTTGTAGATTCCTGAGTGAAGACTGTTGTTTGAGGGGTTGGAGTAGTGTGAGTTGCTTGTGACAGACTTGGGCTGCTCTGGGAGGCTGTAGATGACTCAGTGTGGACTGTGGTGTGAGTGATCTGCGGAGGTCCAGTGGTTTCTGTCAACACTGGGCTGCTAGAGAAGGTTGTGGGTTCCAGAGTGAAGTCGGTTGTTGGGAATGACTCTGTGGGTTGAGATCTCTGTGTTGAAATTGAGCTGCTCATGGAGGTTGTAGAGGCCTCAGTATGGACTGTGGTGGGGGAGCTCTCAGGAGGTACGACTGTTTCTGAAGAAACTGAGTTGGTTGCGAAGGTCGTAGACTCAAGAGTGAATACTACTGGGGATGTCTCAGTACCTTGAGTATCTTGTGTGGAAAACCGGCTGCCTGGGGTAGTTGTAGAGGCCTCAGATTGGGGTGTGATGTGGGTGACCACAGGAGAGACAGCAGTTTCTGGGGAAATAGAGCTGCTTGGAAAGGTTGTGGATTCCTGAGTGAAGACTGTTGCTTGAGAGGTGTCAGGGGCCTGAGTTGCTTGGGATATTGTAGATGCCTCAGTCAGGGATGAAGTGTGGGTGACATCAGGAGGTACAGAGGTTTCTGAGGAAATTGAGCTCCTTGGCGAGGTTGTAGATTCCTGCGTGAACTCTGTTTTGGAGGTTTCCGTTGGTTGAGATCCATGTGTTGCAATTGAGCTGCTTGGGGAGGTTGTAGAGGCCTCAGTTTGGACTGTGCTCGAGCTCTCAGGAGGTGCAGCACTCTCTGTTGACATTGAGGTGCTTAGTAAAGTTGAAGATTCCTGAGTGAAAGCTGTCTTTTGGGAAGTCTCAGTTGCTTGTGTAGAAATCAAGCTGTTCAAGGTGGTTGTGTAGGCCTCAGTCTGTCCTGTAGTGGGTAAGGTGACAGGAGGCACAGCTGTTTCTGTAGAATCTGAGCTGCTTTGAAAGGTTGTAGATTCCTGAGTGAAGGCTGTTGTTTCAGAGTTCTGAGGGCCTTGAGTTGCTTGTGTCGATGTTGGGATGCTTAGGGATGTGGTAGATGCCTCAGTCAGGGCTGACGTGTGGGTGACATCAGGAGGTACAGAAGTTCCTGATGAAATTAAGCTGCTTGGAGAGGTTGTAGATTCCTGAGTGAACTCTGTTTTGGAGGTTTCAGTGGGTTGAGTTGCATGTGATGAAATTGAACTGCTCAGGGAGGTTGTAGATGCCTCAGGGTGGACAGTACTGGGGGAACTCTCAACAGGCACAGCTGTTTCTATGGAAACTGAGCTGCTGGGGAAGGTTGTAGACCTCTGAGTAGATACAGTTTCCATAGAGTCTGTTGCCTGACTTGCATGGGTTGAAATCAGTTTGCTTGGGGATGTTGTAGATTCCTGAGTGAACACTGTTGTCTGAGAGGTCTCAAAAGCTTCAGTTGACTGTGTCAATGTTGGACTTCTTAGGGATGTTGTAGATGCCTCAGTCAGGGCTGAGGTGTGGGTGACATCAGGAGGTACAGTGGTTTCTGTGGAAACTGAACTGCTTGGCAAGTTTGTCGAATCCTGAGTGAAGGTTGTTGTTTGAGATGGCTCAGTTGTTTGAGTTGCTGTTGTTGAAATCATGCTGCTCTGGGAGGTTGTGTGTGTCCCAGTCTGGGCTGTAGTGAGTGAGGTGTCAGGAGGAATAGCTGTATCTGTGAACACTGAGCTCCCTGAGAAGGTTGTAGACTTGTGAGTAAATATTGTGTTGGTGGGCTCTGTTGCTGGAGTTGAATGTGTTGAAATTGGGCTCCTTTGGGAAGTTGTAGATTCCAGAGTGGACACGGTTTTCCATGATTCAGACGGTTGAGTTTCATGTGTTGATGCTGGGGTCCTGGAGTATGCTGTCGATGCCTCATTTACAGCTGAGGTGTAGAAGGTCTCAGGAGGTACAGTTGTCTCTGTTGAAATGGAGGGGAATGTGAGGATAGTGGATTCCTGAGTGAAGACTCTTGGGGGTGTCTCAGTTGCTTGAGATGTTTGGGTAGAAATTGGGATGGATGGGGAGGTTGTAGAGTCCTGAGTAAGAGCTGAGGTGTAGGGGGTTTCAGGAGTTACAGCCGTTTCTGTGGAAATTGTGCTGGTTGTGGAGGTTGTAGATTCCTGAGTGAAGACGGTTGTTTGAGGGGTTGGAGTAGTGTGAGTTGCTTGTGACAGAATTGGGCTGCTCTGGGAGGCTGTAGATGACTCAGTGTGGACTGTGGTGTGAGTGATCTGAGGAGGTCCAGTGGTTTCTGTCAACATTGGGCTGCTAGAGAAGGTTGTGGGTTCCAGAGTGAAGTCGGTTGTTGGCAATGACTCTGTGGGTTGAGATCTCTGTGTTGAAATTGAGCTGCTCAGGGAGGTTGTAGAGGCCTCAGTATGGACTGTGGTGGGGGAGCTCTCAGGAGGTACGACTGTTTCTGAAGAAACTGAGTTGGTTGCGAAGGTCGTAGACTCAAGAGTGAATACTACTGGGGATGTCTCAGTACCTTGAGTATCTTGTGTGGAAATCCGGCTGCCTGGGGTAGTTGTAGAGGCCTCAGATTGGGGTGTGATGTGGGTGACCACAGGAGAGACAGCAGTTTCTGGGGAAATAGAGCTGCTTGGAAAGGTTGTGGATTCCTGAGTGAAGACTGTTGCTTGAGAGGTGTCAGGGGCCTGAGTTGCTTGGGATATTGTAGATGCCTCAGTCAGGGATGAAGTGTGGGTGACATCAGGAGGTACAGAGGTTTCTGAGGAAATTGAGCTCCTTGGCGAGGTTGTAGATTCCTGCGTGAACTCTGTTTTGGAGGTTTCTGTTGATTGAGATCCATGTGTTGCAATTGAGCTGCTTGGGGAGGTTGTAGAAGCCTCAGTTTGGACTGTGCTGGGGGAACTCTCAGGAGGTGCAGCACTCTCTGTTGACATTGAGGTGCTTAGTAAAGTTGAAGATTCCTGAGTGAAAGCTGTCTTTTGGGAAGTCTCAGTTGCTTGTGTAGAAATCAAGCTGTTCAAGGTGGTTGTGTAGGCCTCAGTCTGTCCTGTAGTGGGTAAGGTGACAGGAGGCACAGCTGTTTCTGTAGAATCTGAGCTGCTTTGAAAGGTTGTAGATTCCTGAGTGAAGGCTGTTGTTTCAGAGTTCTGAGGGCCTTGAGTTGCTTGTGTCGATGTTGGGATGCTTAGGGATGTGGTAGATGCCTCAGTCAGGGCTGACGTGTGGGTGACATCAGGAGGTACAGAAGTTCCTGATGAAATTAAGCTGCTTGGAGAGGTTGTAGATTCCTGAGTGAACTCTGTTTTGGAGGTTTCAGTGGGTTGAGTTGCATGTGATGAAATTGAACTGCTCAGGGAGGTTGTAGATGCCTCAGGGTGGACAGTACTGGGGGAACTCTCAACAGGCACAGCTGTTTCTATGGAAACTGAGCTGCTGGGGAAGGTTGTAGACCTCTGAGTAGATACAGTTTCCATAGAGTCTGTTGCCTGACTTGCATGGGTTGAAATCAGTTTGCTTGGGGATGTTGTAGATTCCTGAGTGAACACTGTTGTCTGAGAGGTCTCAAAAGCTTCAGTTGACTGTGTCAATGTTGGACTTCTTAGGGATGTTGTAGATGCCTCAGTCAGGGCTGAGGTGTGGGTGACATCAGGAGGTACAGTGGTTTCTGTGGAAACTGAACTGCTTGGCAAGTTTGTCGAATCCTGAGTGAAGGTTGTTGTTTGAGATGGCTCAGTTGTTTGAGTTGCTGTTGTTGAAATCATGCTGCTCTGGGAGGTTGTGTGTGTCCCAGTCTGGGCTGTAGTGAGTGAGGTGTCAGGAGGAATAGCTGTATCTGTGAACACTGAGCTCCCTGAGAAGGTTGTAGACTTGTGAGTAAATATTGTGTTGGTGGGCTCTGTTGCTGGAGTTGAATGTGTTGAAATTGGGCTCCTTTGGGAAGTTGTAGATTCCAGAGTGGACACGGTTTTCCATGATTCAGACGGTTGAGTTTCATGTGTTGATGCTGGGGTCCTGGAGTATGCTGTCGATGCCTCATTTACAGCTGAGGTGTAGAAGGTCTCAGGAGGTACAGTTGTCTCTGTTGAAATGGAGGGGGATGTGAGGATAGTGGATTCCTGAGTGAAGACTCTTGGGGATGTCTCAGTTGCTTGAGATGTTTGGGTAGAAATTGGGATGGATGGGGAGGTTGTAGAGTCCTGAGTAAGAGCTGAGGTGTAGGGGGTTTCAGGAGTTACAGCCGTTTCTGTGGAAATTGTGCTGGTTGTGGAGGTTGTAGATTCCTGAGTGAAGACTGTTGTTTGAGGGGTTGGAGTAGTGTGAGTTGCTTGTGACAGACTTGGGCTGCTCTGGGAGGCTGTAGATGACTCAGTGTGGACTGTGGTGTGAGTGATCTGCGGAGGTCCAGTGGTTTCTGTCAACACTGGGCTGCTAGAGAAGGTTGTGGGTTCCAGAGTGAAGTCGGTTGTTGGGAATGACTCTGTGGGTTGAGATCTCTGTGTTGAAATTGAGCTGCTCATGGAGGTTGTAGAGGCCTCAGTATGGACTGTGGTGGGGGAGCTCTCAGGAGGTACGACTGTTTCTGAAGAAACTGAGTTGGTTGCGAAGGTCGTAGACTCAAGAGTGAATACTACTGGGGATGTCTCAGTACCTTGAGTATCTTGTGTGGAAATCCGGCTGCCTGGGGTAGTTGTAGAGGCCTCAGATTGGGGTGTGATGTGGGTGACCACAGGAGAGACAGCAGTTTCTGGGGAAGTAGAGCTGCTTGGAAAGGTTGTGGATTCCTGAGTGAAGACTGTTGCTTGAGAGGTGTCAGGGGCCTGAGTTGCTTGGGATATTGTAGATGCCTCAGTCAGGGATGAAGTGTGGGTGACATCAGGAGGTACAGAGGTTTCTGAGGAAATTGAGCTCCTTGGCGAGGTTGAAGATTCCTGCGTGAACTCTGTTTTGGAGGTTTCCGTTGGTTGAGATCCATGTGTTGCAATTGAGCTGCTTGGGGAGGTTGTAGAGGCCTCAGTTTGGACTGTGCTCGAGCTCTCAGGAGGTGCAGCACTCTCTGTTGACATTGAGGTGCTTAGTAAAGTTGAAGATTCCTGAGTGAAAGCTGTCTTTTGGGAAGTCTCAGTTGCTTGTGTAGAAATCAAGCTGTTCAAGGTGGTTGTGTAGGCCTCAGTCTGTCCTGTAGTGGGTAAGGTGACAGGAGGCACAGCTGTTTCTGTAGAATCTGAGCTGCTTTGAAAGGTTGTAGATTCCTGAGTGAAGGCTGTTGTTTCAGAGTTCTGAGGGCCTTGAGTTGCTTGTGTCGATGTTGGGATGCTTAGGGATGTGGTAGATGCCTCAGTCAGGGCTGACGTGTGGGTGACATCAGGAGGTACAGAAGTTCCTGATGAAATTAAGCTGCTTGGAGAGGTTGTAGATTCCTGAGTGAACTCTGTTTTGGAGGTTTCAGTGGGTTGAGTTGCATGTGATGAAATTGAACTGCTCAGGGAGGTTGTAGATGCCTCAGGGTGGACAGTACTGGGGGAACTCTCAACAGGCACAGCTGTTTCTATGGAAACTGAGCTGCTGGGGAAGGTTGTAGACCTCTGAGTAGATACAGTTTCCATAGAGTCTGTTGCCTGACTTGCATGGGTTGAAATCAGTTTGCTTGGGGATGTTGTAGATTCCTGAGTGAACACTGTTGTCTGAGAGGTCTCAAAAGCTTCAGTTGACTGTGTCAATGTTGGACTTCTTAGGGATGTTGTAGATGCCTCAGTCAGGGCTGAGGTGTGGGTGACATCAGGAGGTACAGTGGTTTCTGTGGAAACTGAACTGCTTGGCAAGTTTGTCGAATCCTGAGTGAAGGTTGTTGTTTGAGATGGCTCAGTTGTTTGAGTTGCTGTTGTTGAAATCATGCTGCTCTGGGAGGTTGTGTGTGTCCCAGTCTGGGCTGTAGTGAGTGAGGTGTCAGGAGGAATAGCTGTATCTGTGAACACTGAGCTCCCTGAGAAGGTTGTAGACTTGTGAGTAAATATTGTGTTGGTGGGCTCTGTTGCTGGAGTTGAATGTGTTGAAATTGGGCTCCTTTGGGAAGTTGTAGATTCCAGAGTGGACACGGTTTTCCATGATTCAGACGGTTGAGTTTCATGTGTTGATGCTGGGGTCCTGGAGTATGCTGTCGATGCCTCATTTACAGCTGAGGTGTAGAAGGTCTCAGGAGGTACAGTTGTCTCTGTTGAAATGGAGGGGGATGTGAGGATAGTGGATTCCTGAGTGAAGACTCTTGGGGGTGTCTCAGTTGCTTGAGATGTTTGGGTAGAAATTGGGATGGATGGGGAGGTTGTAGAGTCCTGAGTAAGAGCTGAGGTGTAGGGGGTTTCAGGAGTTACAGCCGTTTCTGTGGAAATTGTGCTGGTTGTGGAGGTTGTAGATTCCTGAGTGAAGACGGTTGTTTGAGGGGTTGGAGTAGTGTGAGTTGCTTGTGACAGAATTGGGCTGCTCTGGGAGGCTGTAGATGACTCAGTGTGGACTGTGGTGTGAGTGATCTGAGGAGGTCCAGTGGTTTCTGTCAACACTGGGCTGCTAGAGAAGGTTGTGGGTTCCAGAGTGAAGTCGGTTGTTGGCAATGACTCTGTGGGTTGAGATCTCTGTGTTGAAATTGAGCTGCTCAGGGAGGTTGTAGAGGCCTCAGTATGGACCGTGGTGGGGGAGCTCTCAGGAGGTACGACTGTTTCTGAAGAAACTGAGTTGGTTGCGAAGGTCGTAGACTCAAGAGTGAATACTACTGGGGATGTCTCAGTACCTTGAGTATCTTGTGTGGAAATCCGGCTGCCTGGGGTAGTTGTAGAGGCCTCAGATTGGGGTGTGATGTGGGTGACCACAGGAGAGACAGCAGTTTCTGGGGAAATAGAGCTGCTTGGAAAGGTTGTGGATTCCTGAGTGAAGACTGTTGCTTGAGAGGTGTCAGGGGCCTGAGTTGCTTGGGATATTGTAGATGCCTCAGTCAGGGATGAAGTGTGGGTGACATCAGGAGGTACAGAGGTTTCTGAGGAAATTGAGCTCCTTGGCGAGGTTGTAGATTCCTGCGTGAACTCTGTTTTGGAGGTTTCTGTTGGTTGAGATCCATGTGTTGCAATTGAGCTGCTTGGGGAGGTTGTAGAAGCCTCAGTTTGGACTGTGCTGGGGGAACTCTCAGGAGGTGCAGCACTCTCTGTTGACATTGAGGTGCTTAGTAAAGTTGAAGATTCCTGAGTGAAAGCTGTCTTTTGGGAAGTCTCAGTTGCTTGTGTAGAAATCAAGCTGTTCAAGGTGGTTGTGTAGGCCTCAGTCTGTCCTGTAGTGGGTAAGGTGACAGGAGGCACAGCTGTTTCTGTAGAATCTGAGCTGCTTTGAAAGGTTGTAGATTCCTGAGTGAAGGCTGTTGTTTCAGAGTTCTGAGGGCCTTGAGTTGCTTGTGTCGATGTTGGGATGCTTAGGGATGTGGTAGATGCCTCAGTCAGGGCTGACGTGTGGGTGACATCAGGAGGTACAGAAGTTCCTGATGAAATTAAGCTGCTTGGAGAGGTTGTAGATTCCTGAGTGAACTCTGTTTTGGAGGTTTCAGTGGGTTGAGTTGCATGTGATGAAATTGAACTGCTCAGGGAGGTTGTAGATGCCTCAGGGTGGACAGTACTGGGGGAACTCTCAACAGGCACAGCTGTTTCTATGGAAACTGAGCTGCTGGGGAAGGTTGTAGACCTCTGAGTAGATACAGTTTCCATAGAGTCTGTTGCCTGACTTGCATGGGTTGAAATCAGTTTGCTTGGGGATGTTGTAGATTCCTGAGTGAACACTGTTGTCTGAGAGGTCTCAAAAGCTTCAGTTGACTGTGTCAATGTTGGACTTCTTAGGGATGTTGTAGATGCCTCAGTCAGGGCTGAGGTGTGGGTGACATCAGGAGGTACAGTGGTTTCTGTGGAAACTGAACTGCTTGGCAAGTTTGTCGAATCCTGAGTGAAGGTTGTTGTTTGAGATGGCTCAGTTGTTTGAGTTGCTGTTGTTGAAATCATGCTTCTCTGGGAGGTTGTGTGTGTCCCAGTCTGGGCTGTAGTGAGTGAGGTGTCAGGAGGAATAGCTGTATCTGTGAACACTGAGCTCCCTGAGAAGGTTGTAGACTTGTGAGTAAATATTGTGTTGGTGGGCTCTGTTGCTGGAGTTGAATGTGTTGAAATTGGGCTCCTTTGGGAAGTTGTAGATTCCAGAGTGGACACGGTTTTCCATGATTCAGACGGTTGAGTTTCATGTGTTGATGCTGGGGTCCTGGAGTATGCTGTCGATGCCTCATTTACAGCTGAGGTGTAGAAGGTCTCAGGAGGTACAGTTGTCTCTGTTGAAATGGAGGGGGATGTGAGGATAGTGGATTCCTGAGTGAAGACTCTTGGGGGTGTCTCAGTTGCTTGAGATGTTTGGGTAGAAATTGGGATGGATGGGGAGGTTGTAGAGTCCTGAGTAAGAGCTGAGGTGTAGGGGGTTTCAGGAGTTACAGCCGTTTCTGTGGAAATTGTGCTGGTTGTGGAGGTTGTAGATTCCTGAGTGAAGACTGTTGTTTGAGGGGTTGTAGTAGTGTGAGTTGCTTGTGACAGACTTGGGCTGCTCTGGGAGGCTGTAGATGACTCAGTGTGGACTGTGGTGTGAGTGATCTGAGGAGGTCCAGTGGTTTCTGTCAACACTGGGCTGCTAGAGAAGGTTGTGGGTTCCAGAGTGAAGTCGGTTGTTGGGAATGACTCTGTGGGTTGAGATCTCTGTGTTGAAATTGAGCTGCTCATGGAGGTTGTAGAGGCCTCAGTGTGGACTGTGGTGGGGGAGCTCTCAGGAGGTACGACTGTTTCTGAAGAAACTGAGTTGGTTGCGAAGGTCGTAGACTCAAGAGTGAATACTACTGGGGATGTCTCAGTACCTTGAGTATCTTGTGTGGAAATCCGGCTGCCTGGGGTAGTTGTAGAGGCCTCAGATTGGGGTGTGATGTGGGTGACCACAGGAGAGACAGCAGTTTCTGGGGAAATAGAGCTGCTTGGAAAGGTTGTGGATTCCTGAGTGAAGACTGTTGCTTGAGAGGTGTCAGGGGCCTGAGTTGCTTGGGATATTGTAGATGCCTCAGTCAGGGATGAAGTGTGGGTGACATCAGGAGGTACAGAGGTTTCTGAGGAAATTGAGCTCCTTGGCGAGGTTGTAGATTCCTGCGTGAACTCTGTTTTGAAGGTTTCCGTTGGTTGAGATCCATGTGTTGCAATTGAGCTGCTTGGGGAGGTTGTAGAGGCCTCAGTTTGGACGGTGCTCGAGCTCTCAGGAGGTGCAGCACTCTCTGTTGACATTGAGGTGCTTAGTAAAGTTGAAGATTCCTGAGTGAAAGCTGTTTTTTGGGAAGTCTCAGTTGCTTGTGTAGAAATCAAGCTGTTCAAGGTGGTTGTGTAGGCCTCGGTCTGTCCTGTAGTGGGTAAGGTGACAGGAGGCACAGCTGTTTCTGTAGAATCTGAGCTGCTTTGAAAGGTTGTAGATTCCTGAGTGAAGGCTGTTGTTTCAGAGTTCTGAGGGCCTTGAGTTGCTTGTGTCGATGTTGGGATGCTTAGGGATGTGGTAGATGCCTCAGTCAGGGCTGACGTGTGGGTGACATCAGGAGGTACAGAAGTTCCTGATGAAATTAAGCTGCTTGGAGAGGTTGTAGATTCCTGAGTGAACTCTGTTTTGGAGGTTTCAGTGGGTTGAGTTGCATGTGCTGAAATTGAGATGCTCAGGGAGGTTGTAGGTGCCTCAGGTTGGACAGTACTGGGGGAACTCTCAGCAGGTACAGCTGTTTCTAGGGAAACTGAGCTGCTGGGGAAGGTTGCAGACCTCTGAGTAGATACAGTTTCCATAGAGTCTGTTGCCTGACTTGCATGGGTTGAAATCAGTTTGCTTGGGGATGTTGTAGATTCCTGAGTGAACACTGTTGTCTGAGAGGTCTCAAAAGCTTCAGTTGACTGTGTCAATGTTGGACTTCTTAGGGATGTTGTAGAAGCCTCAGTCAGGGCTGAGGTGTGGGTGACATCAGGAGGTACAGTGGTTTCTGTGGAAACTGAACTGCTTGGCAAGTTTGTCGAATCCTGAGTGAAGGTTGTTGTTTGAGATGGCTCAGTTGTTTGAGTTGCTGTTGTTGAAATCATGCTTCTCTGGGAGGTTGTGTGTGTCCCAGTCTGGGCTGTAGTGAGTGAGGTGTCAGGAGGAATAGCTGTATCTGTGAACATTGAGC